AGCCTAAAAATAGTCAATCTGGAGAGAAAGAGTGTCATTAGAGGAGCTTAATATTAAATTTATGAATAGAGGTAACACGGATAGATTTATCAAAAATTTTCTAAGGAGAACTAGCTGATTGCATGGACTCGTTGACTGTCTGTAATCCTTCACACCAAGCATGCTTGCAGCGACAGTGGAGATGAAAAATCACATCTAACAGGAAGAAACCTCAAGCAGAACCAGGCTTAGTGTGAGCGGCCATCTGCTGAGGCCAACTGGGGTTCAAGGAGACAGAAGCAGAGATACACATATTTACGGAGCCCCTCTGATGACATGGTCAAAAAAATGTTTTAATTGTGGCCACGAAATAGTACTTCGGGCGCACGTTAAACTTATTGCGTGGCCACGAAATAGTATTTCGTGCGCACGAAATACTACTTCGTGGCCACAATTAAACATTTTTTTTGACCATGTCATCAGAGGGGCTCTGTACATATTGACATAAATGAAATAAATTATTTGGCACTCTGGCCCCACCAGAAGACTTTGATGCTTTAACTCAACATTTGCTTGGATGAGTCACCCCAGAGGGTGAGTGGGACTGAGAATAGTCTGAGAATGAGGTGAAAGTAGTTTGCTTGCGTGCGAGAGAGAGAAGCTAGGTCAGGAGCTAAATGAAGGATATCTTGAAAGATGATTGGTTGTGTAGGAGGTGCGGTCCTGAGATAACTGGCTGAAACTGGACGAGGGACATCGCAGGTGGTTCAGGTGAAGCTGATAAGAGTCTTCCAGATTGTATTTATTTACAACATGTCAGTGTTCTTCAACTACATTGCTCGTCTTTTAATCACATTAAAAGTACTTTTGACTTGTTTTTTGTTTTTGTTTTTTTTATAGTGTAACAGAAATGTGAAAAACTATAAAAATACAAAAGTTTTTACAATGCCTTTTAACATATTTGTCTATATAATAAAGTGAACTATTTTTCACCCGCTTGGTATTTTAAATGTAAACTGACTATTTGAGAATGTTTCGATATGCTTCAGAGTTTTTGTAAAGTTTTTGTAAAGACTTTAAATTGTAAAATAATAGAACCATAAGTTGTTTGAGTAGTTTGTAAAGGGAAATCTTTCCTGCCCAGTCCAACTGATCTGGTGTGGCTCCTACAGGCCCAGTGGTTGCTGGAGTGGTGGGGACCACTATGCCTCGCTACTGCCTCTTTGGTGATACAGTAAATACAGCCTCACGCATGGAGAGTAACAGTTTACGTAAGTAGAATCTTTTTTCAGCAGTTTCTTACTGACGCTATGCTGTTGTTTTGTTTTTTTGGACAGTAGGCTGACAGGAAAGAAGGTTATGAGAGAGGGGAAGGGACATGCGGAAAAGGTCGGATTCGAACCCGGGTCGGCCATGTCGAGGTCTAAGGCCTCCGTACATGGGTCGCGTTCCCTAACCACTAACCAAAGCATGCCCGAGATAGCATGTCGTTTAATTTACAAATTCTGACCAGCCTTAGTGTGTAAATAATTTTATTCACAAGATGCTGGGACAAAAAACTACGATATAATTACTTCACTCTTAGAAGAAAGGGAAATGTTCTATTAAACTTTATAAACCACAAGATATAACACAACCAATTGCTTTAGGTTTGGACCTCAAGTCTAAATCCCCAAAACAATTACACTTTTATGAGACATAAAAGAAATTTATATAGTAGTAATTGTGAAGTAATAAAAAATATCTAGATATCTTAATTAGAAAAAGGCATTTAATCTGATCTGCAGCACAAAAGCCTTCATTGTAAAGATATTGATGAAACTCTAAAAGAGGTTTATATCATATTCTCAGTTGTTTGTGTTTCTTTTTTTGCTACAGAAGATGATGTTTGTGAAACCATATTTCTGTATAACATAGCACAACAATTTTAGATTTTTTTTTTGTATATTTTAAAAAATAAATAGCGGTACTACAAAATTGATTAAAAAGAGCTTAAAATTATAAATTTCTTGTTTGCATATAATGATGTTATTAGATGTAGACCTTTAACAACTTATCCCTGAGGTTGGTTGAAACATTTAACCTCATCAATGACAAAAACAAATGATTATTGCGGCATAAATTACCTCATTTATTAAATTCTAAGAATGTGTGAATGAAAGTTGTTATCCGAACTTTATCCTCTACATTCACATCAATCTAAATCTTTACAAGATTGAAATGACGCCATTCTCTCTGAGATATTTTCTTGAACCTTAATCCTCCGATCATATAAAGGTTGGTTCTTTCTGTGGACAAATGAACTTTTACCACCTTTGTCACCAGATAACTAGTTTCATGATGTTAATGGTTTAATTTCAGCGATTTATTTTTGAATCAGTATTAATTCTAACTTAATGACAAACAAGTGTATTTTCCTTTATTTAGTTTTGTTGATTTCCAATTTAGTAACATGAACCTTTTTTTTAAACAGCACTAAGGATCCACATATCTCAGTCAACAGCTGACATTCTGATCCAAGCTGGATCATTTGAGTTGAAAGAAAGAGGGGACATCGAAATTAAGGTGATTTCTCTTGAGATTTTCAAAGATATGGAGTCTTTTATTTGGGAGATACTCTGACCAGAATATATATATTTTTAACAGGGTAAGGGTGTCCAGAAGACCTACTGGCTACTAAAAAAAACAGGATTTAATCCTAATCTCAGTTCCCTCAGCTCATTACAAGGTGACAGTCTGAAGGTGCAGACAGAGGTAAGTGGAAATTAAAAAAATAAAGATGGTAGAAAGAAAAATCCACAGTATAAATCAATTTTAAATGTAATGTTGCTATAACACTGTTTTTTTAGTCCAGTTTTCTCAGCTCCAGATCTTGCAAAATGTACTGTATGATTTTTTTCTTTCCAAATGTTGACACACCTTAACAGAACTTAAGGTAGTAAAAATTAGATCTATTTTATCTTTAGCATTTAATGACATGAGAGCACACCCACAACAGCCTGGTACAGTAGTACAGAAACTGGCAGGCAGAGTTAGATTACAAAGGCAGGACTAACAGAGTCAAAGGAAACAGAACAAATCAGATAACTACAGATGTCGAAACTTTGACTTCTGGGACATTATACAGGGCACCATTAAAACATTGCTCTGTTGCAGCTGCAATCTTGACTGTTATGGTTACAGATAAGCACTGGTGCATTATGGGCCTGCTTTCTGTGCTGTCTGTCTGAACAGGCTACATCTAAAACTCTGCATTTTTCACAAAATCCCTTCTGTGTTAAACTTTAAAAAAAAAAAGGTGCCACTAAATTAACTGAGTTAGAATTTTGTCACAATTTTTGTTTCCCAGTTTAATATTCAATAATTTGCTTTCAAAATTAAACGTTTAGTTTGATTTCAGATATTTTTCTCTTCTTGTTAACAAAGGTTTACTGTTGTTATGATATGATGATAAGTCAGTGTTGCTGTGCAAAAGATTTTGTTCTTACCTCATGTAACAGCTAACTTGAGCTGTTGGTAAATACTGTCCACCACAGGTCGATTTTATTTACTTTTTTTTTCTTATGTGAGATTGTCTGTTATTCTATAAATTAAAGTTTTAGCATGGCACCATCAGTACATTATGCAAATTTGCCTGAAAGTTTTGTGCTTTCATCTTTTGTTGTTTCTCTATGTCAAAGAAACAAGGAGTAACCAGATCGTCTGTCACAAAGTCCCAAATGATCCAGCCCAGATCCTCGATGACTACGGTGCATGTTTAGGTGCTGCATTGAGAATGAAATCGTCTGTAACACATCGTCAAGAAGTGACTATCCCATGTACTTAGTACAACAAGAACTATTTGGTCACTGATTCTTTCAAGAGTAAAATTTATGGGGTTTTAATTTCTCTGAAAGAGTTTTATTCATTTTTGTTTCTTTTCCTAAATTTAATTAAGCATTAAATATAAATACAATTTCTAAGCAATTGTATAAATACAATAATACGGAAGAGGATTAGGGCCACTGAAAAAAAGAAAAATGATTTTTAAATTTTATTACAGTTTAATATGGGAAAAAGTCAAAATTCTGAGATAAAAGTCAGAATTCTAAGAAAAAAGTCCGAATTCTGAGAGAATTCGGACTTTTTTTCTCATATTATAAGTTATCATACAATAAGTTGTCATATAAAAAAAATAAAAAACTGTAAATTTACAGTCATATGTTTATATTCCTGTTTTTATATATGTTTTTTAGTATTTTTCAAGGCTGCACTTTTAAAAAAGCTGAAATTGTCCATAGAACTGTTCCAAATGAAATCTCATTTTGTTTTACACTTGTGTAAACAAAATGACAAATCTGTCTTAGTCTAAGCCTAACATTGTTCTGTAATAAAAACTAAAAATCTGTTAACTTTTTCAGTGGCCCTAATCCTCTTCCATACAACAGCAGGATACATTTATTCTTCTCAGAGGACAGTCTGCCAATGCATTTTAATCATGTGATGTAGATTCATATGATTCTTAAGGTGTAATTAAAATAGAAGGATTTCAGAAACGATTGGTCTACAAATTCACACAAGCCATCAGAATCAGAAAAAACACCTTAGTTTGTGTGGAAGAGTTTATTTTTGATAAAAATGACTATCGTTTCCAATCTTTCCACCTTTTGGAAAGCAACATGCACATATTTCTGAACAGCAGCAGACATAAAACCTCTTTAACATTTAATATTCACTGTGAAAAAACTAAATCTGTCTGTTTATTTTGAAAATAAAAATACAGGGGGTGAAGACATCACTTCACAAAATGACATAAAAAAAACTTTTGAGATAAATACCTCAACAAGGTACAATATTAAAAATGCTACTAAAAGCTTTTCTGCTCTATATTAAAGATTTTACTCTATGAAAGCATAATGTTTTTTTTTTTTTGTAATCCTTCAGCATTTCTGTTCTCAATCCATGTTTGACATGTTTATCTACCTCATTTATGTTCTTGATTTGGTTGTATTCTTGTGTCTAAACTGTAGTTATTTGCTGTCAACAATGAAAAACAATAAAGATTTTGACTTAAAGGAAAGGAGTATTTTCATTGAGTCATTAAAAGTTGACTTTTTTCTTTTTTAAGATTTACCAGATTTTCTTAATACAGCAATTAATTTTACCTTGGGAAGGTATTCATGCACTCCCTGAGTCCTGGGTGACACTTCCCTCTGCAGCTGTACACACGTTGGTAGTGTGTGTAACAAGATTTGTGATTACCAAGGTTTCTTTTAAAAATTGTTTTTAACTTTTTAAGTATTTTCTAGTTCAAACCAATGTTCATCAGGACCAGGAGCAGGATGAGAAGAAAGGTCCCTGACGTGGAAAATGAGAAACAATCAATAATCAGCTGGGGGGGAAAACATTTTAAGACAAAATATTAAAGATTAACATCTTTTATAATGTGTTTATATTCTTTTCTGGAAAAAAAAAAACAAACAAAAAACAGCATTTCAAAAAATAGGTTTATTTATGTTGCAAGTAATGCTGACTTAATTTTCCCTTGAAATCCATCGGAATCTCAGTTTAGGTCTTAATGTAATTGATGATTTGCTGAGAATGTCATCAGTTTATATTAAACTTAATCCCTTTTAAATTGTAAAAACCTCCATCCAACCCATTATTAAAGCAGCAGCAACAGAAAGTAGAAAAAGGGAAAGATTTCTACTTGTTATTGATTCCAAACAGTAACCGCTGCTCTTTTTTTAAATTATACAGAGAGACAAATGTTTGCTTTCTTTAAACTTTGCTTTAGGTTCATAAATGGAAATAACTTCTGACTAGATTTTATACAGTAAAACATTTCAGCTAGTTATTGTTCATATCGTCACCTGTTGTGTGCTCATTATTTGATGATTCACTTCCTGTAAACAAATCAAGATAACAGTGATTAAAAATGCCAGTTGTACTATTTTTGTATGTTATTCTATCTTATTAAAAGTAAAATACTTGAAAAAATGCATTTTCAATACCTTGAATCTGAAATTCAGTGGTGAGGATTCCTCCACTTGGTTCTACTTCTGAAGACAAGGACCTCTTAGAGCACGGGCTCTTTAAAGAAAAATAACATTATTAATAACTTTTTTTCTGATCGCCATTATGTCACTTGCTGACGGAAAAAAAAATTATAATAAATATATATTTATATATACATATAACACATTACAGTATACGTATATAAGTATCTGTTGCAACAAATATTACTCAAACGCCAAAGTTACCTGAGACATATTTCAGCTGTTGACCATCCCTGCATTTATCACTTTCTAGTTCTTAGAGCTTTTTTTGCAAAAACTTGAAGTTTTAATTTCCTAAAAGTCAGATTCCTTCCTAAAATTAACAGCTGACTTTCTCCAAACTTTGTTGTTTTTTAATCCTACATCTTACTTTTTCCGAACTTATTAGTTTCCTTATGTAAAAGCACAATTACTGCCTACGAGCTTAAAATGTATTTAAAGTTTTAGACGTTACTTTCACCAAGTTAAAGCTACTTTATAACTTTGATTGGAATTACTGGAATTGACAATGTATTTTACCAACTTATAAATAACTGTTCTGGAAGTTATAGTTTTTTTTTTTTTTTTTTATCTTTTCAGTATTTAAGGATTAACTTTCCATAACTTGCAGGTAACTTTTCATAACTTAGGTTACTTTATAGACAACAGCCATTACTAAACTTACCAATAACTGTCCTTTAACGTTTTGGGTAACAATCTGGTAACTTCTCAGAGGTAAATAAAATATTGTGCAGAAAGTGTAGAAGCTACATTCTAATTTTACTAATTTTTAGTAAAGTACCCCATAACCTGGTACTTTCAGGAACATGAAAGTACCTGTAAGTTCACCAAAGCATCATGTGTCTTTAGAAAAGATATCTGTAGGGCCACGAAAACCAAAAAAAAATAACTTATAAAATAACTTATAAGTTACGGAAAGTACAAAATAAAATACAAAGCAGATCATAATTCTAGGAAAGCAAACTGTTTACTTAAGAAAAGAACAAGCTGTATCATGCTTTGCTGGCAAGTTTACTTGCAAAAATCAGACCTAATCCTGTAAGAAAACTTTACAAATGTTTATGCCAGTGGCTCAGTCTGGTTGAATGTCTTATTTATGTGTTTTGTAATTTGTTTTACGTTAATTTGTTTCTTTATATAAGTTTTTTTTGGAATTAACCATAACAAGTTCACATGACCAGAGGTAAGATATTGTACTTCAGTGCAAACATTCAACATTAAATAATTAAAATGGAGTCAAGAAAGTGAGTATTTTACCTATAGATGTTTAAAAAGTAAGACAAAACTTCCAAGATCAAGTGTGAAAGAGCAAACAAAATATCAGACGTGTTGACACATGTTGAATGAGGCATGAGGTAAAGCTATGGAAGCTGCCAAGTCAATGGATCCATGAGTAATTACTGCCAGCAGAGGGCAACGTTGTTCTAAAATGTTTATATTTGCTGATTGTTCCCAGTCTAGGAATAAGGGATAAATTTACCACCATCAGGATGAATGCTTGGTGCATAAAGTTCTTCTTGAAGATGAATCTATGGTTTTTGGTGTGATAGTACGTGGCCATGTCCCTTTAATATATTTCTGTTTGTGATTAAGTCTAGCTGTTGTACTCACAGGCTGACAGACTAGCCTCTCTGCATCACAGATGTGGACCTCGCAGTGAAGCCACACGGTGGAAACCTTCTCCAGTCGCTGGAAGCGGAAAGAGTTGAACTTAAAGGTGGAGCGACTGTCTTTGGCATTATCGAAAATGGTCACAGTGTAGTCAGCCGGACAGCTGGTGGCAAACAGACATTCAGGAGCTAATACACACACACAATAAATCTAGTTTATTGACCTTTTCAAGAGATTTAAAATGAGTTGGCACCTGTTGATGATAAGACTCCACCTCTTACTGTCTGTTGAATAAGGAGTTGGAGTCGCCCAGCAGTTGTTAATAACAACTTTGAACCTAATGGTTAAAATACAGTTTGATTCTATAATTAGGATTATACATATTACTTAAAATGAAGTTTAATCATTAAATGTATAGTGGAGGATTTTGTTTTTTCCAGGTGGATCATCAAAATAAGTGGTTCTCTTAATCATTCTGGTGATATGTTTATGTCAGGCCGTCCTATGTTCTTGTCCTGTTAGCTACCTTTTTCTGCGCATGCACAATTTCAGGTGTATATATATATATATATATATATATATATATATATATATATATATATATATATATATATATATATATATATATAGCTCACCTTTCTCACTGTGGTTCTTTATCACAATACTTTGCATGGAGAGCTCTCCTCGCAAAGCATTATGAGATTTGATGTCACAGCAGCCCACTCTCGCCATAGGCTATTGCTACCCGACAGTGGCGACTAATAACAAAGATGGCGCAGGCACCATGTGGTGGAGGAGGAGTTACCTGACCAACAGAGAGCAAAAAGTAGTGATCATCTGAACGGTAAGTTAACTGAGTTAGCTATAAAGTCCAGTATATAGTCCCTGCTCTATATAGCGATTGAGAGATTTAGGGGTTAGAGCGGGCGTTCTGACACAGTAAGCCTGTATGAGCGATGAGAACAGCAACTTTTAAACAGAGCGTGCAAGAGAATGCACAAGCCCATTTCTTCTTGTGCGTTCCCTCTCGAGAGCGGTTACAGGGTTGTGCATATGCATTTTTTTTTTTTAAGCGGAGAGGGCAGTCTTTTAAAAAATTTGCTTAAATCCTCCACAATACCTTTAAGGAAAAATGCTTTATACCTATTACTTAGACCTTTTGCTTCAATACCGATAAAAACTTCCGAGCCAATCTCAGAGGTGTCAATCACATAGGGAGCATCCTTAGCATACAGGAACTTCGAGTTCTACAAAATACAATATTTTTTGTTGTTTTAATCATCAAGTAATTTCAAATGACACAGAAACAAAAAAGACTGCAAGAAAAGCTGGCTTTTGGCCAGAATTTCTGATATAAATGAATGCATTACAGACGTGGAGTCCAGAGGAGGAACTGAATCTGTAAAGCCGCGACTCACCGTGAACACGTTCATAGACAACTGTGATCTAAAAGTCCCTAAACTCCCATTGTTGACATAAACTGTAGCAACTCTAGAAAAAGCAGAGGGTTTAGTAAAAACGCTGCAAGTCATTGTGTCAGCATGCAGTTATTACCCAAAGAGTAATTATGTGTGAACGGGGTCTTGAGCTGGTGCTTACCTCTGGCTGAAGACTGCGTTATTCACCAGGTAGGCTGCTCGGTACATGCAGGTGAAGGTGTAGTTGACTGGCTGGTTTCTGACTGTTAGGGAAGTATCATTGGACACAATGGAGTTGTAGAAGATGTACTTTGCATCTTTGCCTGGCATGTACTGCATAAAAAACGAAAAAATAAAATACCAGTGAAAAATTATCTCAACTACTCTTTTTCAAATGTTTTATTTGGTTAAACTGTTTTTTTATTCAATTGTAAAACTTAAGCAAAATAAAGACTCTTTTGTTTGATTGCGTTAGAACTGAAGAGAAAAAGTACTGTGCTTCAGCATGGCTTTTCAGCTTGTGCATGTGCCTTACCTCAGATTGTGTGCCGCAGTATGAATGGTTTCTGGGCGTTAGGTCTGGGATAATGAAGCGGTAGTAGCCTGGGCTGTGTATTCCAGTGTAACACACTCCACCCAGGGATAGCTGGTCTATATCCCAGCCATAAGGACACTCTGGGACATTGGCGATGATGGCATTAGGAAAACAGGACACAACAACATAGTCTGGAATATAAATCAAAGAGATAAAATTCAAAAAATTTGATTACAGTTCATATTTTACTTAAAATAGGGCAACTATTAATGATGAAAAGTGTATTTTGAGGTAAGGTTTTTTAAAGCTGTTTAGTCAACATAATCTAAATAAAAGAAACGAAGCACAGTGAAGAGATATCTGTTGAAGGATGACTTCCAGTTTGTGGGATTGGTTGCATGTCCAGGTTTGGGTGAGAACCAGGAAACAACTGTTTTTCTGTCTTTTTCAAATCCAGTTTTTACCTGCTTTTTGTGGTGCACATGTCAGCGCAACGGGTAACCCCAAAAACAGTGCAAGAAATGAAGCCATAGTGAGAAGCTGCAACAACAAAACATGCATTTGTCAATAATGTAATATTATGGGATAAAATGGAAGGATCTAAATCCATAAGAATTAAATATGACTCACCTTGTGGAGCTAACACCTTTAACCTGCTGAATGTCAGAGGATCCCCATATCTCTCCTGCAGGTCGTCTGTAAACGAGCTTGGAGACGACTTGAGAAGGCATTTTATACTGTGATAGATAAGAGTAAATGGCTTTCAGTCATTCTCCTGTCTCCAATTTTCCCACTGGCATTACTGGTTTAAAAGCTCTATTGTAAGGATTTTCACAAAAAGCTCTCTGTGCTGCTTAGACTCTTAAATAACCAGCATCCCATTAGCATCAGCTGTTCGCACATTGGGAAAAGAGAGATATTAGTTTGCACAATGGACACTCAATAGTTTTGATTTAAAGGATGACAAAGGATGGGATTAAGAACACATAGTATTGCGGAAAAAAGCAGACATACTTTTAAAGTTTATTTTTATTGAAAACCTCTTCATACAAAAAAAGAAAAAAAATGCTATGGGGCTTCTCCAACTAATTTTACTGCCTCTTTAAAGGCACACTATGCAACATTTTTCATTTAATTAATGTGTTCCATAACGTTATGGATGATTAAATGAGTCATTTCAGGTTGAACAAAGGTATTCTCGGCCGCCCTGGTGGTCTGTGGGGGAAATACTGCACTTGCAATTGCAGGAGCACCGACCCGCACCCACAGGCTCAGAAGTCTCGTGAGAGTCAGTCTTGCTTTACGGCGAGAACTGCTACACGCCCCCAGTTAAAAGCATTCTCGTTGCTAGCACAGTGGCAATCTTTGTGCAGTTATGCTACGTTCACGCAGCAAAAGCAGCAAAATCGCGTCTGCTGCTTCCTTTTTGCTGCTTGTACCAGTTAGTTCTGACGCGCGGCTGAAGCAGCTTTGCTGCTCTGGCTGCGCGGTGCAAAAGTGTGTCTAAGGCGCATTGGGCGGAGCTTCACTATCCTTTCTCTGCCTTGCAGCTATATTTGCTGTGATCAGTGGGAATAAAGTAGTTTTAATATGTGTTTAAGTGAGAAAATACACCTGAAAACGTAATCAGTGCAGTCAGTTCATTCAGATTATTATCCTGCCTTCAATATTTTTTCTGTCGGAGCCGCTCAGACCCCCACATACCAGGGATGCGCTGAGAGTATGGATCCCTTCATCAGCAGCGGTTCACCGCGGCAGCTGGTAGGTGTTTTTCATCTAAATAATCCAAACTGCATATTCTGCCGGCAGTTTTCTGCATTTTAAGTTAATTTAGGCGTCAATAAACTGTTTAAGAGGAGTGATCATCAGCGCTGTGTCTCTCTCCCTGCGTTAAACGCACCCGACGCGCTGCTTCAGCTGCTCATACGTGCTGCGCCTGCTGCTCAAAACGCACCGCGGGACCTTTTGCTGCGCCTTGACGCGCGTCAACCATTGACTTTGCATGTAAACTCGCTGCTTCTGTCGCGCCAGCTACGTCCAGTGTGAACGCAGCATTAGTCATTCGCTGCTAAGCTCAAAACAACCGCGCCTGGCTTGACGGAGAAACCAGGAGAACAGCTGAGCATATTTACGACAGTGCACTTTTACTTTCACCCTCTGGGGGGAGCCTCGCTGGAAAATCCACACCGGTTGCATAGTGTACCTTTAATGTAAGTATATTTCTTTTTTCTTTTTTTTTCTTTTTAAGAAGAGTGCTTTACTGCTTCATTTTTTTGATTTAACAGACTTTACATGTTATGTTTTTCATTTTGGAAGTTTTAATTAATCATTATTTTTATATTAATTTATATCTGTGTTTTATAGAGCAATGAAAAGGTCTTTTAAAGATTTCTAATGTTTATGGTGGTTACAAAAAAGCTATCTGAAATGCTTTGCCCCGTCATTTTATAGTAATTGCCCTCTAAACCTGTGGTTGTGCCCAATGGTATAGTCAATAAGTCACCAAGATAGAACCAGTTTGAGAGCATTATTCTGAATGATTACAAAAGCAACACACCATGGCCTGAACTACAGAAATTTGATGAGAAGGAAGATCAAGAAATATTTCACTATGGATAGAATTGCTGTCAGGTTATGTCAAGGTTCGAAGATGACCCAAATGCAGAGATGGCAGCAGAAGTGGTTTCTTATAGGATTAATAATTCAAAAGGCACAGAGGCAACAGTCCACAGACAAAATACTGAAAAACAAAATCGAGGAGATGTCAGGGAAAACACACATGGGGACAGGAAACGACTGGGAACCAGCAAAGAGTAACTGAACAGGAGTTGTATATATGGGAGACAGAAACAATGGGAGGGCTAATTAGCAGACAAGGAGCAGGTGTGGACAGAAGGATCTAGAAGGGAGCTAGAAGAAGGGGACTGACACAAGAGGGCAACAGAAGGTAAAAAAGAAATACATAAGAACTCAAATACAACCAGAAAACAACTCAAAACCGAAATGAAACCAATAAACTAGAAAACACAGAAAAACATGTCGTGTTTAAGATCTTTTGAGAATTCACAAAAGAGTGAGAGCAAGTTGTCCACAAATGGAGTAAATAAAGAATTTTGGTGAAACTTCCCTGGAGTGAAATTCAATTCAATTCAGTTTATTTCTATATCGCCAATTCACAACACATGTCATCTCAAGGCACTTTACAGTTCACCAGATCATACAGTCAAATTGATTCAGAGTTTTTTTTATCTAAGGAAAACCAGTTGATTGCCGACTGAGGTATGGAGACAGAAGCAGAGATACAAAAAGCAACGGCAAAAGGCGGCCCCCCATCCAGGAAACACACAGCCAAGGAGAAGAGATCTGAGCCAACTCCCATGTCAGAGGATGAAGAAAGCACATCCAGCCAGTCAAAGTCAGAGAAACAGGACTTCACTGGAAAAACAGGCCGATCTCCATCACCTATAAACAAAGGTGTTGATGGCTGCAGCACAGCTGATATCTCGCTCCAGGATGGAGTCACAGCCAAACAGGAACAGGTGTGGCGAAGCTATTATGAGAAAAAGCAGAAAGAGCATAACGTTAGAGATTGAACTAACACATTCTGCAGAGTTGAAGAATAGAGATAGAATGAAGCAACATTATGAAATAGGGATCCCTATGTTCTCTAGAAGTCTAAGCCTATAGCAGCATAACTATAGAGATAGCTCAGGATAACCAAATAAAATGCTTACCAAAGTGAGTCTAAGGACCCATCGTGCCTGCAGACCTCAGATGTTTATGCTAGGGTCAGGGTTCATGATGTTAACCAGCAAATACCAAACCCTGATGATTCCAAGGATATTAGGAAAAGTTGTCTCTTGTAAAAAGTGAACTATTTGAAAAGAGATAGCCCTGTTTTATCTATCTATCTATCTATCTATCTATCTATCTATCTATCTATCTATCTATCTATCTATCTATCTATCTATCTATCTATCTATCTATCTATCTATCTATCTATCTATCTATCTATCTATCTATCTATCTATCTATCTATCTATCTATCTATCTATCTATCTATCTATCTATCTATCTATCTATCTATCCCTCCATTCTTTATTTTCATCATCTTTAGTACATAATCGATTGTGAAAACCTTTTGAATCAGGATCAACTTCATAGGCTGTGAATGCATAGAAAATTTGACTTTGGTTTCATGAGCTTGCTGCACATTAACAGTGAATATAAATAAAAGGAACAGTAACATTTTAACATCCACTTAAAGATTAAAGCAGGATATTCTAATACACCAACATATCTTAAGGAGGCTGCTAAATAAACGTAGAGGCAGTGAGGACTCCATGCCTAGACATGTAAAGATACTAGCTCAGATAAGATGGCAGCATACACAGACAGTAGTGTTCTTAAGTGGAGGGGATAGGCCTCCGACTAATATCAGGTTCCTCACTGCCTTGTGTTAGGATACCAGTCTTGTCTGGCCAGCCTTTCTTATGCCTGTGAAATCTGCTTTTTTATTGAGCCACTTTCTTGTTTTTATTGTTGTCTAATATTTGGATGGTTTTCTTATTAAAGTTATTTCAGTTAACATGATATAAAATTGGTTTATCTTTTAGATATGATTTTTCACTTTATTTCTGCATCATATTGTTGAAGAAATTAAATATCGGCTATTTGTAAAACTAATTTATTTCTTTTAATGTATTGCAATTAAATTAACACCCACATTGCAAAAACCTCATATGAAAATCTGAACAATGAGGGAAAAAGAAACGAGTCTAGACACTAATGTGGCTCACAGAAAACCTGAACTTGGTAACCTTGCAAAGAGACAAACTGCAGACAATTAGCATCTAAATGGAGCGATAAGGAGAATCGCTGTGGTTTGACTATGGAAGATACAGATCTGTGAGGGAGTGAAAGGGAAAGTTTGGGTTTCAAGCACCTGTTGAAGGTAACAATTGAGAGTTGTAAGATTCCTCTGTGTTACACAACTGCACCATGGGATCCAAAAGGTGCTCAGGAGGAGATGGAGTCTTCGCTCACGTGTTTGATTGACTGGTAGAGTTAAATCACAACTGATTTCCTATCAAGCCATAATATTTTGAATTTAATTTGGCAGGATGGTTTTAAAAATTTTCCCCCTTGCAAACTAAATTTGAATTGAAATTAGATATTGATCTAACTCAAAAAAAAATTTTAAAAGCACATTTAGCTGTAATTATTTTAACATTTTCAGTTTGGACTTGTAATTAAATACTTCAAATATTAAAAAGCATTATTTTATTTAAAATGATGAATAGAATTAGGAAGTGAAGCGAAACATCACTAGATATGCAAAACATTTATTTTATTAGATTTTATTGAATAGTGCTTTTGTAAACATTCACAACATTAATAAAAAGAAAAAAGAAAAACAGCATTTATACACGGGCCTAATAGCACATTTTAAGACATCATGACAGAAAATACAAACATTTCTTCTGTACATTACACTCACCGGCCTCTTTATTAGGTACACCTGTCCAACTGCTCATTAACACTTGATTTCTAAGCAGCCAATCACATGGCAGCAACTCAGTGCATTTAGGCATGTAGACATGGTCAAGACAATCTCCTGCAGTTCAAACCGAGCATCAGTATGGGGAAGAAAGGTGATTTGAGTGACTTTGAACGTGGCATGATTGTTGGTGCCAGAAGGGCTGGTCTGAGTATTTCAGAAACTGCTGATCTACTGG